ACGCGCCACGTCGTGCGCGCCCCCGCCGTGATCCTCCCTCCCCGGAATGTGGCGCGCTCCTGCGGATTGGGCCCCGGCGGCGAAGTCTGGGGCAGGCCGCTCCCACGTACGCGCGTCGGCACCGGCCGGGGTGGGAACGCGCGCGGCGGCGGCGCCGGGAGTGGCTCCAGGGCGTGTTTACAGTCTGTGCGGGCCCGCCGTGATCCTCCCTCCCCGGAATGTGGCGCGCTCCTGCGGATTGGGCCCCGGCGGCGAAGTCTGGGGCAGGCCGCTCCCACGTAAGCGCGTAGGCACCGGCCGGGGTGGGAACGCGCGCGGCGGCGGCGCCGGGAGTGGCTCCAGGGCGTGTTTACAGTCTGTGCGGGCGCGCGCGCAGTCCGGGCTGGGCGGGCCCTGCGGGTTTTGACTGCTCGGCGGTCCTGTGGCCGAGAGGAAACAGCGCGGATGCTGTATTCCTGGGCCCAGGCGGTGAGGGAGCCGAGGGTAAAGGGGCTGGGCCGTCCGCGACTCCCGAGGACCTGAGTTAGCCGCGGCGGCGCCCGGGGCTTCACCTGGCTCCAGGGTGCAACAGCTGCCGGAGGGAAGGAGCGACAACCCGAGGCGCCTTCTCCCTTTGTGTCCCGGGTGGGGTCCACCCAGAGGACGGCCTGCTGGCCAGGCCTCACCTCGGCACCCAAGGACTCGCCCTGGCGCTCCGGGGCCACGGGGGTAACGCCTGCCTCTCCGAAGGTCGGAGCTCCCCGGGGCTGCAGAGGCCCGGACTTGCCTGAACCCCGATTTTCTTTACGATAACCCCTTTGTCTGTTGCTCCCCCCACGACTGCTCTTCCGAGTAAGACCTCGGCGAAAAGCTTTGGGTAAGTTTGGTCCTCGGTGTTTTTCCCCCTCCAGCCTGATTTTGGAAGTTCTCTAGCCAGCTTCGGGGGACTCAGGATTGGGGAACAAGGAATCATTGATAGCCATCTGCCCAGGACCAGGAAGAGGAATTATCTAAAGAGGAAGTAGTCAACTATTGTGGCTTTCTGGGATGAAATTGCCCCTTTCTTCCTATTTCACACCTGTGGAGAAATGTCATTTTGATGAAGTTACAAAAGGTGGGACACTGAACATTTGCTCAGGATATTTCAGTTCGTGCAGTTTGAAATGTGTTTGAAATGTTTACGTTCTAGAGAGCAGTAGAGTTGGGAATAATATGTATTTGCTTAGCTATTAAGACATTACCAGAAGTATTATTTTATACTTCTGCCAAGTCGAGTTTTATTATTATAAACTAAGGGACGTTTTCTGTTTAAATTGAGATGATAAAAGTATTAACATTCAAGAGAAACCTTGATCCTAGAAATAACTTTTTCCTTTATCTGTTTCCTGCAAATGCTAGGCATTTTGTGAACCTTTAGATGCATAGCAAATGCTCTATTACAAGTGGCACTTTAAAGATATAAGTATTGAAGGTTAATGATTATCACCCTTCTCCTATGAACCCTAAATTACTTGGCTTATCTCTACCTTTGCACTTGACTTCACATTCTAATTATATATATATTTTTTATTTAGTTCTTCCATTAGATGGGGAGTTCCTTCAGGTTTATGACAATCTTATCTGTAGTCTCAGGGCTTGGCACAGAGGAGGGGCTCAAATGTTTATTGAATGAATAAATTAATAAAACCACTTCCGCACTCACTAACATTGGACTCTGTAAGTGTTTTCAAAATTTTCAAACATTGTGATATGGGTTTTAAATCCCTGGGGGAAAATACATTATTATTTGAAATTAGCCTGCCAAGAATATTACTCTTTGTTTTCTGTTAATTCAAGAAATGACATTTGAGAGTATTTTCTGTTGCTTTGTTACACTTAGCAACTCAGTTGAAATATCGTTGGGGTGAGCATACGTAAAATGTGTTTACCAGTGAAAACTCAGCTGCCACCATCTTGAGAGAAAACTTAATTCTTAGTACGAACAATGCTCTGTTTCGTCTTACATTGGATAAAGAAAACAAGAAGTTCTTAAACTTTAGAATTTCAGTACCATCAGTGTTTATAAAGTCTTAGGATTTTTTGGTAAAAATGGTATGTCTTAAATTAAGACAATATAGAAAAAAAGATGGGAGGGTGGGAAAACTTCCAACTCTTTCTACTTGGCAGTAGCCAAACATTTTTTGAAAAAACTTCCTAAAGCTCCTCTTCATTTTTCCAACACATATTTTATGTTGTATATGAGATCATACTTATAATTTTTTAATCAGTATTGTGTGATGATCATCTTTCCATGTCAGTTCATGGATAGATGGCTTATCCTTTTAAACGACTGTATAATATTCCATTTTATATACCTACTCTCTCTAATTTTTAAAAACATACTTAGAATGATGGACATTTAGGTTGTATTCGTTTTTTGGTGGTAACTCTGGATATTTTTGCATGTATATGTGACTGTTTCCTTTACGTAAATTCCTCGAAATAGAATTATGGGTTAAAGAGAATGCTTTAACACTTGTAGATTAAAAAATAACTTTGCCCAAAACCTTTCTTCATAACTTTACATTTCTTATTACCAGTGAGGTTACACATCTTTCCCCATCTTTATTGCCCCGACAAATATTTTTATGCTTTTTATAGCTCATGGTTGGCAGCTCAAGAAAGAAAACTAAGGAAGGATGGATGCAAAAGCTCGAAATTGTTTGCTTCAACATCGAGAAGCCCTGGAACAGGACATCAAAACATCCTACATCATGGATCACATGATTAGTGATGGAGTTTTAACAGTATCCGAGGAAGAAAAAGTTAAAAATGAGGTAAAGCCTTCTGAGGCAGTCTGCTTTCCTGAAAATTTTTAGAATTTCAGAACTTGCACTGTTTTCTACTAATTTGCATTACAGACATAGTCTTTATAGTATACTAAAGTACTTATTTGGTTTTTTAGCCCACTCAACAGCAACGAGCAGCTATGCTCATTAAAACGATACTTAAAAAGGACAATCATTCCTACATATCCTTCTACAATGCTCTACTACACGAAGGCTATAAAGATCTTGCGGCCCTCCTGCACAGTGGTGTTCCTGCTGTCTCTTCTTCCAATGGCAAAGATTCAGCTGGTGGAATAACTTCATATGGTTTGTAGCCATCATCCCTCCTACTGCTTAGCTAGCATAATGGCTGCTTTGCTGCTTATCTTACAGTAGATGGAGTCTGCTGAAGAGACTGATTCACTTACTGAAAATTGCATGTGAAAAATTATGTTAACCAATTCAAATATTTTTATTTGCATCTATAGTACTTTACACTTTCTTATTGCTCAGTGTGCTGAGGTAATGTTATACACATCCTAACTGGTAGAGATAAGGCAATTATGTAATTTATAGAAGACTTTAGGTTTTCTAGTTCTTTGTGTTCATCAAGTTCATGCACAAGAAAGAATAAGAATTTTTAGAAATCTGTTTTTAAAAGGAATTACATTTTCTTTTCTTTGCACTCCCCTTCCAGTCTTTAACATGAGAAAGAGAAATTGGAGAGTCAGGGAAGAAAAGGATGAGTAAAGGGACATAGAGATGAGATTTCTGTTGTCTGTAGCTATCTTGAAAGGAATATGTTGGTTTTTGTTCTAGGTGCTCTGAGAAACCAGAAATTTGAAGTTAATGTGGTATTCACATTTTCTTCTTTTGGAAATTCTGATATTTTGTTTTGATGGTAGTACTTTGAGTAACCATTTCAAAATTCTGTTCATTTGTCTTGTTTGGAATTTCAGTGAGGACAGTCCTGTGTGAAGGTGGAGTACCACAGAGGCCGGTTGTTTTTGTTACTAGGAAGAAGCTGGTGAATGCTATTCAGCAGAAACTCTACAAACTGAATGGTGAACCAGGATGGGTCACCATCTATGGGATGGCAGGTTGTGGAAAGTCTGTATTAGCCGCAGAAGCTGTTCGAGATCATTCCCTCCTACAAAGTAAGTATTCATTATCCTATGTTGCTGACAAAGGAGATATTCTTTAGGCATTATATTAGTTTCCTGCTAATTCTATAACAAATTAATCATATATTTAGTAACTTACAACAACACAATTAGATTGTCTTTTAGTGCTGCAAGTTAGGGTTATAAGCAGTTTTTTTTTTTTTAAGATTTGTTTATTTATGCATACAGAACTGGGGTATAGGCAGAGATGCAGGGGCGGTTAGAGGATTCACCAGACAACAGGCCGACTGCGAAGTACACTGTGGGTGGGTCAGGAGAGGTCTGCTGTGCCATGTGGGTCACCTCCGGGGCGGGGATTGAACTCATGCTGAAGTGGCTTTAGCTTCTTAGTGCTGTGCTTTAACTCACTGCACCATGAGGGAGGGCCTGAGGTACAAGTAGTTTTTATTGGGCTAACATCAGAGTTTTAGTACAACTGATTTTCCTTCTGGAGGCTCTAGAGAGAAGTCTTCCTTGCATTTCCCAGCCTGTAGACATGGCTTGTGCCTTTTATTTTCCAACTTGGCAGGTCATAGCATTTTCAGTCTGTATCCCCGACTATTTGCTTGTGTTGTCACATGTTCTCCTCTGACTCTGTCCTTTTTGTCTTTTCATAAGGGTTCTTATGATTATATTGAATTGCACATAGTCCAGGATAATCTCCTATTTCAAAAACTTTAAATTATATCTGCAGAGTTCCTTTTGCCGTATAAAGTAACATGTACAAATTTGGTGGATTAGGATGTGGACTTCTTGGAGGAAGCCATTACTCTGCCTCCTACAGACATGATTAAGTTAGGAGTATTTGTTTATGTCTGTTGCAGTAAAGCTTGCTAGCCAGGCCAGTTGATTCATGGGTGTGTGTTGGATGGCATGTTTTATCACTGGAATGAAACTGTGTCCCTTGTATCTTAACAACTGATGGGATAGTAGGGTTGAAAAAGAATCCTGACTGGTTGTCTGTGTAATATCCTTGACTTTCAGGAAGTATTAGATTTATATCTTCCTGTTAGTTGACTGCTTTCACACAGTGTCCTGTAGGGAAGGAGATTTTATTTTAATTTTTTTTTGAAGGGGCAGGGAAGGAGATTTTAGAGAACTGCTCTGTTAAGGACTCTTCCAGTGGGTGATTCTCCATGCATGTGGCTCCCTCCGTTAAGCTGTTAATTATATTTCTTTAGGTAATTCTTTCAGTTACTTATCTTTAAAAATAAAGTATTTTAGTAACATGTGTGATACATTATATATGAATACCACTTTGCAGGGCAGCATAATAGATTGATATTTGCTTCAGCTGTCATGTATTCATGAGACATTTGAGAGCCTGCTGTGGAGTTCGGCTCTATTTTGGGCTCTGGGGTTCCAAAGAATCATGGTCTGTGCATAGCAGTTCACTCATAGTGAGTGTATAGTGGGGGCTTGAGGCTTGTAGACAAAGTATAATGTATGTCATAAATTGAACAGTAGAAGCAAGTCTAAGGCACAAAGTTAGAAGAAAGGAAGGAAGCATTAGCTCTCTGGGGAAAGAGGATGGACAGGACTGGCTTCCTGAGTGAGATGACAGTTTAGTTGGTGTGTGGAGGAAGACGAGCAGTTTGCTAGACAAACTAGGTGGGGGATGAGGAGTAAGTTAGGACAGTGGGTAGTTACTGGAGAGGGCAAGGGCAGACTGCAGAGAAGTGCTGAGGACGTTTTTGGCAGGTCAGGGATTCCTCCATCGCAGAGCTCTCTGGGCTTCTAGCGTGTGGCTTTCATTCATACATGAAGGCACCACTTGACTTGTTATTTTTTTCCTTAGACTTTATTGATTGCGATTCCTTTACGCAACTACATGCTTTGGGGTGTGCAGCTTCACGCCCCACAGGTGCACATGCCTCCATCAGAACTCCAGTGCCAGCACCTATCACCGCCCCTCTCGCTCCTTTGCCCCTCTTAATAATTGTAATCCATCTACTAAGCAGTTTATGATGAGAGGGCAAAATGAATGGAATAAACCTCTAAGGGATTTAGAAAGGTGGAACCAGGGCACGGTGTCCCACCTGGCTCTACCCGTAGGCCATAACCTGGGTCAGCAGTACTGGTCATACTTTTGTCGGAGTATGTCCGATCCCTCGCCCCTGTGCCCGCTTCCCTCACCTTGTCTTTATAGAGAAGATTCCTGAGACTTAGCTTCATGCAAGTCCCAGGACCAACGCTTTATTTTTATATGCCTGCCCACGTTTTTTAACCTCTACTGCAGAGTTTTATCACAATGATATTTCAGAATAGAATTGGTTTAAATTCCTCTGTTGTGAAGAAGTGGTTTTTTTCTTCCAATATTATGATGGAATTTAAAAAAATATGTAAGTGGCCTCCTTGGTGGTGCAGCAGGTGAAAGCATAACACCGTGAAACTATCTGCAGCCACTATGGCATGAGTTGGGTCCCCGGCCAGGGAGGTGACCCACAAAGCACAGCAGACCTCTCCTGTCTCGCCCGCTGCTCCCCTCAGCAGTGTACTTCAGTCTTCCCGTTCTCCCCACTCTGTCTCTGGTAGATCCTCTCACCCCCACACCTCTGGTTTGTACACCTGTACTCCAATTTTTGTATGTATAAATAAATAAAATCTTTAAAAACAGGTAAGTGTACCCAATTCAGTTTTATCATTATAGATTATTAGGGTAAATTGTTCATTTTAGGGGTTAAAATTGACTATTAACTGATGGAATTAACTACCCATGTGTCATGTATAAATTGTAGTCTTGGAATAGATTTTAAATATTTGTTTTGAGAAAATGTCAGCGATACTAGCAGTTTCCAGATATAGTAGTAGGTGTAATTCTTTTGTGAGTACCAAGTATAGAAGACTGAGTTAATCATATTTTCTAGTTCCTAACCTATGTCATATTTTAGGTTTGTATGAGACTAAGCTTTTTTTCTGTTTATTTGCTCATTTCCTTTTAAAAATTTCTCATTTCCTTTTCCTCTTCTAAGGAAAAACACACTCCTTAATATGTCTTCTCATGGTTACAATACTATAATTTCAACACCAGCAATTCTTCAGCACCAGCTGGGTATCCTACTCAGTGCTGACCCTATGTACTGCCATTTAGTTTTAGGAAAAATCTTTTTTTTTTTTTTAAGTGTACATAACTTTAAGGGTTATACGTTCATTACAACTGTGGTTCCTATAGAAATTTTGTTATTTCAGGGTGGTGTTTGAGGCAAATTAGAGAATGTTAATTTCTTAACAATAGGTTTTTTAAGTCACCCAATTTCCTTTTGAATGTTAAACTCTCTTTTTATTTAGTAGGGAGATTATAAAGAGTTGAATGTCTTTAAACACTTTTTCTTATTGATTTATATGCCTCGTTTTTAAAATTTGGAAATTTTCTCCAGAGGTGATCTCTACTTAATTGTTCCCATTCCTTCCAAGATAGATACCTTTTTTTGGTTGTTAGGTTATTGGTTGCTACCAGGATAGACTTCTAAGAAAGTAGGATGAGGTTAATTTTCTGCATAAAGACAACTTGACTAAGTTGCTCTAAATGAATTAGAGGTACACATCTTATTCAAGGCTGTCTTGCTCCCTCTTGTGCCCACAGTCAAGATGTTTAGTCTTTATGAAATGTAGCGTTAGTGCTTAGTATTGAACTAGCTTGTCGTATTGTGAAGACTTGCTATCAGGTGGTCATTTGGTCTTTCTTTTTAAAGCTAGTAGTGTTCTTTTTTTTTTTTTTTAAAGATTTATTTATTTATTTGTACAGAACTGGGGTACAGGCCAGAGATGCGGAGGGTGAGAGAATTCACCAGAGACAGAGCGGGGAGCAGAACAGGCAGATCGATGAAGTACACTGCTGAGGGGAGCAGCGGGCGGGTCAGGAGAGGTCTGCCACACCATGTGGTCGCCTCCGGGGCAGGCGGGAATCGAACTCATGAGGAAGTGGCTTTAGATTCTCAGTGCTGTGCTTTAACCCGCTGTGCCACCAGGGAGGGCCAGTGTTCTATTTTTTCTTGCATGTCTTTAATGCTCTAATTTTTTAGTTTTAAATTTAAGAAACAGACTTTTGATAATAGGTAATATGTACTTAAATTTAAATCTGTAGAATTATTTGCTAGTTATGTCAGGATATTTCCTTTGTCTTTAATTCTGGGATGATCTTTAAAATCCCTCTCCCTCCACTTGAAAAATTTTAAATAGAAAATGCAAAGCAAAAAAAAATCTTAGGACAAATGGTTTAAATATTCTTGTTTTAAATATTTCAAAAGTAGCATTTTCATTTAAATTAAGTAAAAATTATTTTCATGTGTTCTCCTACCTAACCATGGTGTCTAGCCATGGTAGTTTATTTTTGAAACATTTACCCCTATGTGTTTATAAACATGTACACAGAGTACAGTTTTGTCATTGGGGAAGCATCAGGGATTTACCATTTCATGACTGTTGACATGCCTGTAGGAAACTTAAGAGAATGTCAGGAGTGAAAGCGAGGTCTTATTGTCTGCCTCTCCTGAGGCATTGACATCGATGCTTTCCCCGTGCCATCTTTGCCCCAGTGACTGTGGGCTTCTCTTTCTCTCAATTATTTGTTATCTTTTACATTCTCACACAGTTAGTGCTTGGTATGTGCCAGTTCTGATCTAGGCCCCCTCCCCTCATTCTCAAAGCCTTTGTGCACACTTTATGCTTCCTCCTCTATGGTCAGGAAATTCCTCTTATCATAAGCCAGTCTGCTCTTAGAATGCTTTCCTCCTTGCCTTGTCTGAAACTGGTAGTTCCCTGAGGGGCCTGTTTTCTCCTGTCTTCTTCAAGGTAACTATGTACCTTTTCCCATTACGGCACACATACTACAGCTTCAGAAAATTGACTGATACTGTTCTTTGCTTCTATAGTCTCTTCTAGCCCATTAATACTCCTTTCTAGCTAGGGCAAATTCTTTGTCCTTTGAGGTTCATTTCTCAAAGCTGTCCCTATTATGCTATTGCCTCCTCATTCATTGGCTTTTAGAGATCTTAGTTGTAAACTTAAGTCTTTCTCCTGTAGGTTCTCTTTGTGATTTCAGTGTTTATGTAAATGAGCCTTCCAGATCCTGGCTTCTTAATCTCTGGTGACACTTTCGATGTGTCCTGTCAGCTATGTATTTCCTTGGTCACAGGCTGGACATTTGTCCCTGCCACTACCAGAAATGCTACCATATTGGAAATTTTGATGTTAAACATTATTTTTTTTTTTAAGACTTATTTATTTATGAATACAGAACTGAGGTACAGGCCAGAGACATGGAGGTTAAGAGGACGCACCAGAAATAAGTGGGGAGCAGAACAGGCAGATGTACTGAAATACACTGTTGAGGGGAGCTGTGGGTGGATCAAGAGAGGTCTGCCACGCCATGTGGGCTACCTCCCTAGCCGGGATCGAACTCTTGCTGCAGTGGCTGCAGACAGCCTCACACTGCTGTGGCTGCAGACAGCCTCACACTGCTGTGCTTTAACCTGTTGCGCCACCAGAGAGGACCCAAGATGATTTGCTTTTTAAAATAGTGATTTCTTATTGTAATTAATTATTTTTGAATACCAATAAATTGCACACTGATACACTACAGCTTATTTATATTTGTAGCTGTTTTTTGCGGTTTCTTACACTTTTAGGATCACATAACAAATCTTAATGGTTGATGCCTCTGGTATAGTCTACTGTTCACCATATTTTATACATAGGGACCTCCCTTGCATTTTTTTGTATCTGTCTGGAGCTGATTAAGTATAGTCTATGAAGTCTTAAGATTTTGGCCCTGATACATATGTAAGTAAAAATATGTACACAATGCTTAATTAACAATAACTTGTTTTAAGTTATTTTATGATTAGTGATAATAATTACAGTAATAGTAATACTGTCTGTAGTGCTTATTAGTTCAAAGCTTAATATTAGTAAGATACTCTGAGATCCATATCACTAATAATACTTTTTTTTTTATAACTCTTTATCATTAAACATAGCAAATTCACATGTTTTCATAGTAACTCTGAAATAGGTGAGATAGTCTAATGCTGGTATAATGAGTCTGAGATGAAGTGATCTCTTCATCTAGATTGCTAGAGATTGCATAGCTAGTAAGTAGTGGGATCAGACTCAGACCTTACTTCTTACCTGCATGCTGTATGTGTGAGAACCCTAATGAGTGAGTTAGATGTTCCTGAGCCTCAGTGGTTTTTTTTTCTTTTCTTTTCTAGAGGCGATTGTGTTCCCACTCCCCAGTGAACCAGAGAACCTTTGATACCTTGGGAAATAGTTTAGGTTGTCATATCTGGGAAGGGGGTGCTATTTTAGTAACATCTAGTGGATGGAGGCCAGGGAGGCTGTTAAACTTCTTGTAGTGCACAGGACAGTACTTCACAATAAAGGGTTACGTGGCCCACAAAATCAGGAGTGCCGAGGCTGAGAAACTGCTGCAGAGTAATCATTTGAACACATAGGACAAAATTTGTGAATTTTTATTGATAATATTTTATCAGTAAGCAGCAAATTCACACCAATCTTCAATTTTTGCACATCTTCACCTTTCTTAGGTTCAGGCTGTGCAAGCAGAATTTATACCCTGAGTCAGAAGAAGTTGAGGATGTGATGAGATTGAAGGTTGGAGCTTATCAGTAAATCTTTCAAAGGAATACTGTTCTTCCAAATAATAAAGACCAAATAATAAATAATACATTTATTATTATTTTCATCACTAGGTTGTTTCCCAGGGGGTGTAAATTGGGTTTCAGTTGGGAAACAAGATAAATCTGGGCTTCTGATGAAACTGCAGAATCTTTGCACACGGTTGGATCAGGATGAGAGTTTCTCCCAGAGGCTTCCGCTTAATATTGAAGAAGCTAAAGACCGTCTTAGAATTCTGATGCTGCGCAAACATCCAAGGTACAGTCAGTCAAAGCTGGTTGGTGCGTGAATTCCCAGTGATTAATTTCTGGCTGCTGCATGAGAACATCAGACCCTTTTCTCACTTAGGTAGAGGGCTGAGAGAGAATTCACATGCTATGTTTTTCTTTGGTTTAAAAATACCAATAAGTGACTGTGTGCACCTAAAATTACTTCTTTTTCTTGCTTTGCTCCCTTTTGCATAGGCTTTAAGTCTTTCAGATATTTAAGAAGCAATTTGAATTCTTGGTTGGAAAAGCCTAGTAATGTACCAAATAAAGAGTATTGTGTGTGTATGTATGTATGTATGTATGTGTATGTGTTTCTATATATGTATACACATATATAGATACACACATTTTAAACATGATATAATTTATCGGTGAAGCGATCACTTGGTTTGCCATCTGGAGTATCTGTTAGGGGAGGTGTTTTGTATTAGTCCAGAAATACTAGAATTGAGAAAACTAAAAAATTTGAAACAATTTTTAATGATGCTGAAAGATTTGCTGGTGGGTTGGATACTGGGGAGTGGAGAATCTGTTAAATTAAAAAATTATGATGCCTTGATCTATATCTCATTAGATTCAGGTGTTGAGGAGAAATCACTAGTTGATTAATCAGAGATATTTGTCATAGTTCTGTGTCTTTACTGATGAATCGTAAAGCCTTTTTCTCTCCTTATTCCCTTCCTACTTGAGAATACATGTGTAATATTATGTTGATACATTACAAAATTGCTAGTTTTGTATGGAAAAAAAAAAAGCCAGCTATTGTTTTTGTGACATGAGAGCCTAGTTCTCATTTGATTAAAGATTGGTTTGGTTTGGGAAAATCCCACTATTTGCATAGTTCTTTATAGATACTGGGTAACTGATAATAATTTTAATACTTATATTGTCTTTTTCTAGGCTTCTAAACTTTAATATTGATTGATTTTGGGTGAGAGGATGGGGAATTCTCTAAATTTTTTTTAATTGCGTCAGTATATATTGTTAAAGGGCTGTAGCCAAAAAAGAAAAGAGGCAGAGCTGTGGACGGTGCATCTTCCTCCTTTTTAAGAATTTAAAAGACACTAATGGCTTTTTTTTTTTTTAAAGAAACTTAAAATAAATGTTATTAGTGACTAATAGTGTTTTTTTTTTTTGGTATATTTTTAGGTCTCTGTTGATCTTGGATGATGTTTGGGACCCTTGGGTGTTGAAAGCTTTTGACAATCAGTGTCAGATTCTTCTTACAACCAGAGACAAGAGTGTTACAGATTCAGTAATGGGTAAAGATTATTAATTTGCTTTTTAATACCTCTGTGTTTTTAATTTAATTATGCTTTAAATATGTGGCATATCAAATTATGTACTATGTCTCGTGATTTTATTACAGGTCCTAAATATGTAGTGCCTGTGGAAAGTAGTTTAGGAAAAGAAAAAGGACTTGAAATTTTGTCCCTCTTTGTTAATATGAAGAAAGCAGATTTGCCAGAACAAGCTCACAGTATTATAAAAGAATGCAAAGGTATGGTTGTTTTATCTGTGAGGGGTCTATCAAGCTACTAATTTATCCTACTGTTAGTTAAGCTATTGAATTGACAGCTTATCATATAAACATCCAAAACCTTTACTAGGATATTTACAACTTTAGTTCTTCTTTGATACCCTAGATGCATAGTGCTATTTTAGTATTTTAATAATTAGAATAAATACATTATAATAATCTCAATATATCTTCAAAGTTTTGTACAAGAGTTCTAAAATGATGGAAGAAGTACTCTCATGATACAAATAATGATCAGATTATAAATATCTTCTATTTTTCTATATAATTTCATAGATTTTAAAATGTTTCAAGATGGACATGCATAAAGGATATTGATGCATAAACAAATCAAGTATTTTCTCTAGGTTTAAGATAATTTTTAAAGTCAATTAACTCAAAACCAAGTACCTATTTCATAGAAGAAAGAAAAACAAAAAGATATTTCTAAACTTAGCAACAATGAAGAAATCTTAAAAGCCGACAGATTTGATTACATAAAATTTTAATTTTCCTAAGTCAAAATTTCCTACAAATGAAATTAAAAGGCAGGCAAAAAAAATGTGGAAAAAATATTTACAGAAATAAGACAAAGGCTAACAGCTTCAATAGAGCACCTAGAAATCAAGTAATAATACTCATCATGAAATAAAAGGGCGCCAACAGTAATACCTTAAAATTCAGTGACCAATTAAGACATCTGTTTTTTACTTTCCAAATCAAACACTATTTTTATAGAATCTCAACCGAAAAAAAATTAGTTTCAATTCTTGCTATTTTTTTATTCTTTGAGTGTAGAGGTCATGTCTTTATCTCATGCCTCCCACTAACATATTGTGGGTGTTTGTTACATAAGAATGAATACTAAGGGGCCTCACTGGTGGTGCAGGAATTAAAGACGGTGTTGTCAAGCTGCTGCTAGCCACTACAACATGAGTTTGAGCCCCAGCCAGGGAGATGACCCACAAGGCGCAGCAGACTTCTCCTGTCTCTCCCACTGCTCCCCTCAGCAGTGTATTTTGGTCAGTCCACCTGTTATACTCCCCACTCTGTCTCTGGTGAGTGCTTTCTCTCCCTGCACCCCTGACCTGTACCCCAGTTCTTGTATGCATAAATAAATAAATCTTAAAAAAAAAAAAAAAAAGACCAAAAAATGTGAACCCAAGAAGCTCCCTGGTGGCACTAGGGGTTAAAGCACAGTGCTGTGAAGCCATCTGCAGCCACTGAAGCTAGAGTTTGATCCCCAGCCAGGGAGCTGACCCACATGGTGCAGCAGACCTCTCTTGTTTCACCTGCTGCTTCCCTCAGCAGTGTATTTGAGTAGATCCACCTGTTCTACTCCCCATTCTGTCTCTGGTAAATCTTCTCATCCTCCCACCTCTCTGGCCTACACTCTAGCTCTTATAAACTTAAAAAAAAAAGTGAACTCAAGAGTTACAAACATTTTAAGGCTTTGGATGACATACAATAGAAGTTGTTTCTAAGAAGAAGCTGATTTTTAAACTGGTAATCATTTTAAAATGTGGCAGTTTTTTTTTTTTTTTAAAGATTTATTTATTTGTGCATACAGAACTGGGGTACAGGTCAGAGATGCGGAGGGGGAGAGGATTCACCAGAGACAGAGTGGGGAGCAGAACAGGCAGATCGACGAAGTACACTGCTGAGGGGAGCAGCGGGCGGGTCAGGAGAGGTCTGCCACGCCATGCGGTCACCCCCGGGGCAGGAGGGATCGAACCCATGCGGAAGCGGCCCCAGATTCTCAGTGCTGGACTCCTACCCGCTGCGCCACCAGGGAGGGCCTAAAATGTGGCAGTTTTAACAGTGAGTTTTTTTTTTTAGGTTCTCCTCTTGTAGTATCTTTAATTGGTGCATTGCTACGTGATTTTCCCAACCGCTGGGAGTACTACCTCAGACAACTTCAGAATAAGCAGTTTAAGAGAATAAGGAAATCTTCATTTTATGACTATGAGGCTCTGGATGAAGCCATGTCTATAAGTGTTGAAATGCTCAGAGAAGACATAAAAGGTTATTACACAGATCTCTCCATTCTTCAGAAGGATGTTAAGGTGCCTACAAAGGTAATAGAAGGACCAGCAATTCTTGTCACTGGGTGTTTATTGCATGGAACTTTTGCTGTGGTGCTGAGGCTATGGCTAGAGAATATTAGGATGAGGCCTTTGTCCTGAGGTGATGGGGTACAGGGTGTGAAGCGCCACTGCTCTTAATCTCCATCAAGAGCTGAGTTGAACTCACGAGTAGTACGTTTTACAGTGGTTCTAGGGAAGCTGGACAAACTTGTGACTTCTGTTTCTTTTCTGTCTTGAATAATTGGACTGCTTTTTATGAGATAGAGAGATTCAGATTCAGGACTTTAGGATGGGGTATTTTGGGGGTGCATTACTAGCTTGCCTGCAATCCTTGTCATATATTTTTGTGACACATTAAATGCTTAAATCATTTCTAGGTGTTATGTATTCTCTGGGACATGGAAACTGAAGAAGTTGAAGACATATTGCAAGAGTTTGTTAATAAGTCTCTCTTATTCTGTGATCGAAATGGAAAGTCATTTCATTATTATTTACATGATCTTCAAGTAGATTTCCTTACAGAGAAGAATCGTAACCAACTTCAGGTACCTGCGTCTCTGTCCATTTTTAAAATTTTTGATTTTTTAAATAATATTAGGTTTGTAGAAGAGTTCAAACTGGTCATTTCTTTTTTTTTTAATTTTATTAAGGTAATAATGGTTTATAATACTTTATGTAATTCAGAGATTTAAGATCACATCTCTTCAGATGTGTATCTGTACACCCCGTCCCACCCTCTCCTCCCCTTCCACCATTCACGTTCCACTACCATAGTTTGCTCTCCACTCTTCCCTCCATCTGGTAGACTTAATTTCTGCAGTCAGATTTTTAGGGTCTATTACTAGTTTGGTTTTGACACAATTTGTTTTTTTTCCACCTATAAGTGAAACAGTGCAATATTTGTTTTTCTTCCGACTTACAGCACTTAACATTATCCTTCCCAGTTCTGGCCATGCAGTTCCAAATGTGAAGAAGTCATCCTTTTTTATTCATTGTGCATCAATACCTTATCTTAATCCACTTACATGTCCTTGGGCACTTGAATTGTTTCTATAACTTGCCTACTGAGTACTGTAGTGAACACAGGAGTATATGTCAAGCAATCCTGATAAAGAAGATTGGTGGTATCCCAGTCCCAGACTTCAAACCATACCATAAAGCTTTGTTTATACTGTAAACAAACCAGTATGGTATTGGAATAGAAACAGATACACACACCAATGGCATGGAATTGAAAACCCAGAAATAAACACATGCATATATGGATAGTTAATTGATGACAAAGGAGTCAATAGTAAACATTGGAGAAAGGAAATTGTCTTCAACAAATGTTGCTGGGAAAACAGGACAGTCACATACACACAAATGGAACTGGATCACCAACTTACATCTTAGACAAAGGTTAACTCAGAGTGGATCAAAGACTTGGATGCATTTCTAATCCATAAAATACATTGAAGAAAGCTTAAGCAAAATACTTCAGAACTGTGGCTTTAGTGATATCTTTGTGGATTTTTTTTTTAAGATTTTTATGTATGAAGTACAGGCCAGAGGTGCAGTGGTGGTGAGAGGATTCACCAGAGACCGAGTGGGGAGCAGAATAGGCAGATTTGAGAATGCTGAGAGGAGCAGTGGGTGAGATAGGAGAGGTCTGCCGCACCTTGTGGATCACCTCCAGGGCAGGGATCGAACTCACACCAAAGTGGCCACGGCCAGCCTGCAGTGCTGCACGTTGTGCTGCCAGGGAGGGTCTGTGGATTCATTTCTTTTGGCAAGAAAAACAAAAGAGAATATAAACAAATGGAACTACATCAAACTAAAAAGGTTCTGCACAGTGAAAGTAAACTATCATTAAAACCAAAAGCCAGCCTATTGAGTGGGAGAAAATATTTGCACATTACACATCTTGAGTAGGGGCTGACATCTAAGATCTAGAAAGACCTTACTCAATTCAACATGAAGAAGACAAAAACCCCATCAAAGAAATAGGCATGAGAGCTAATTCAGCACTTCCTCATAGAAGACATACAGATGGTCACAGCATGTGAAAAGATGCTCATCATCACTTATAGAAAATGCAAATCAAAGCCACAGTGAGATATCCTCGCACACCTGTGAGAATGGCCCATATCAAAAAGTTGAGAAATAAAGAAGTCTTACACACCATTGGGAATGTAGTCTGGTCCAGCCCTTATGGAAAACTAGAGTTCTTAAATATTAGAAATAGGTCTGTATGACCCAACAACTCTACTCTTAGCTATCTACCCAAAGAATGCAGGATCATAATACAGTTTATACATATAGCTTCACCTCACTTCCCCCACTGTTAACTTCTTCATATAACCTTAATAGGGACCAAAGACAAAAAATAACATTGGTGCAAATCTTTTAATCTACAGGCTTTATTTAAATTTTTCACATGAATGTTTTATTTGTAGTCCATATCAGGATACTTCAAATACTTCCTCAAATCTGACAATTCCTCAACTTTATATTTTTTCTTTGATCATTTTTATGAGTTCTAGTAAATTATTTTATACAGTGTTCCTCAGGTGGGTATGTCTGATGTTTTCCCTGACTAAATTGAGGTTACATATTTTTGGCAAGAGTGCAGGAGCTTGCTTTGTGCTCAAAATTGTATCAGATGTAGGATAGTGCTATGACTTATTACTAGTGCTGTTCACATCAGTCACTTGGTTAAAGTGGTTTCTGCCAATTTCTCTCTTCTGAAGTTATTACTTCTTCCTTTTATAATAATTATCTTGGGGAGAAGTCTCTATACATTCTTAAATAACAGGAGCTAGAGTTACTGATGCTTAGTTACTTTTTTTTTTTAAAGATTTATTTATTTATGCATATAGAGCTGGGATATAGGCCATCGGTGCAGGGTGAGAGGATTCACCAGAGACAGAGTGGGGAGCAGAACAGGAAGATGTACTGAAATACACAGTTGAGGGGAGCAGTGGGTGGGTCAGGAGAGATCTGCCATGCCATGTGGGTCACCTCCCTGGCTGGGGATCAGACTCATGCTGCAGTGGCTATGGATCGCTTCATAGTGCTGTGCTTTAACCTGTTGCACTACCAGGGAGGGCCCCAAGATGCTCAGTTACTGTGATGATTGTTTCTGTGCTCTGAAGTGTTTCCTTTGGCCTTCAGGATCTGCATAAGAAGATGATCACTCAGTTCCAGAGACATCATCAACCACATACGCTTTCCCCAGATCAGGAGGACTGCATGTATTGGTACAATTTTCTGGCCTATCACATGGCCAATGCCAATATGCACAAAGTAAGAGGAACCCATTTAAAAATTTATCTTTGTCTTATTCTGTCTTATTGCTAGAATTTTCTTTTATTAAAAATAGGATCATAGCCTGTCTTTTTGTCTTTGTTACTGTTTTTATCTGCAGTGGTTTAAAAAGCTACCATAGTATAGCAGTAAGTGAACCGCCTAAAAATTCACTCTCTTCCATTCTGTGGGGGCAGAGTGGGGAATGGGATTAAAAACGGGGGGTGGGGGAAGGGAGGGAAATGCACCGGACTATGGTGGTGGCACGGGGTGATTTGGTGATGGGAAACCCGCGGGGATTACAATCGAGATGGAAAAAAAAATGTGCAAAATGATGTAAAAATAAACTTTATAAAAAAAAAGAAGCTACCCTGTGTCTGTTTCACAGGAAAAAAAAATCACTCTCTTCTTCCTTTATGGGCAGAATGGATTTGTTTTTAAGCTTTGAGAGGAAATGGTGGATAGGACAATATATTTATTCAATGAATGAATGAATGAATGAATGAATGAATGAATAATATTACCTCTTATGTAGTGATATTTTTCACTAGGAGGAGATAGTATGGGTACAAAATTCCAGCTCTCACTGAGTTTACATTTTGGGGGATGACTGACAGTGGTTTTTCTCTCTTGGGGGTAATAAGTGCTCAGAAGAAGCAGCATGGGAGGAGAAAGAATCAATGATATGGGGCACAATCATCATGACTTGCTGGGCTTACAGTTTGGATTTTAATACAGATTGTAAAACTGTATTTGTGTCATTAGTAGTATATGAGAGTTTATTTTTTCTAATTTCAACTAACATTCTTAGTCACCCCTTTTTAGACCTTAGAAATCTGATATTTAAAGAAAAGGTAAATGTCATTTTGCTTTGATTACTAGTGAGTTTGACCATTTGTAGTTTATATTTTGCCAGTTGGTTCTCATGCATTTCTTTATCTATTCTTCTGTTGGGGTGATTGTTTTATCTTAATGTTTTATTATAAATTTCCAGAGAGAATATTAAACCCTTATTACATATCTTTTACAAATAAGATTTTTTTTGGTTTAGTTATTTTAAATTTTATCTATATTGTTTTCTATACAGATGATTTGAATATTTTGGTAGTTATTCTTTTTAGTAATTTACTTTCGTATCATGTTTACAAAGATTTCCTTTACCCCAGGATTACAGAAATATTTATCTGTATCTTTAGGCATTTTTTTCTAGGTTTTATTTTATATATCATCTCTCTCTCTCTATATATATATATTTTTAAAGATTTATTTATTTATGCATATAGAGCTGGGATATAGGCCATCGGTGCAGGGTGAGAGGATTCACCAGAGACAGAGTGGGGAGCAGAACAGGAAGATGTACTGAAATACACAGTTGAGGGGAGCAGTGGGTGGGTCAGGAGAGATCTGCCATGCCATGTGGGTCACCTCCCTGGCTGGGGATCAGACTCATGCTGCAGTGGCTATGGATCGCTTCATAGTGCTGTGCTTTAACCTGTTGCACTACCAGGGAGGGCCCCAAGATGCTCAGTTACTGTGATGATTGTTTCTGTGCTCTGAAGTGTTTCCTTTGGCCTTCAGGATCTGCATAAGAAGATGATCACTCAGTTCCAGAGACATCATCAACCACATACGCTTTCCCCAGATCAGGAGGACTGCATGTATTGGTACAATTTTCTGGCCTATCACATGGCCAATGCCAATATGCACAAAGTAAGAGGAACCCATTTAAAAATTTATCTTTGTCTTATTCTGTCTTATTGCTAGAATTTTCTTTTATTAAAAATAGGATCATAGCCTGTCTTTTTGTCTTTGTTACTGTTTTTATCTGCAGTGGTTTAAAAAGCTACCATAGTATAGCAGTAAGTGAACCGCCTAAAAATTCACTCTCTTCCATTCTGTGGGGGCAGAGTGGGGAATGGGATTAAAAACGGGGGGGGGGGAAGGGAGGGAAATGCACCGGACTATGGTGGTGGCACGGGGTGATTTGGTGATGGGAAACCCGCGGGGATTACAATCGAGATGGA